AGAATCGAACATTTCTGCTATTTTGAGCTCAATTTCAAAGTACTTTTCATCGTGAAATCAATTAAAATCATATTTATTTTCGTAAGTGTATCTTCCATTCTACCACATGAGACCAAATAAAACAAGAATACAACCATAAAAATCATACGAAAATGTACCGCTAAGGGGACGCTCATGGCTGAGAAGTGAGCTCCGTTATTTATGGTCTGATTTCTTTCATTTTTGGTGTACGTTAAGAAGCATCTTTTCATCGCACATTGCCCAAGATTCAATAAGATAGTCCAACAAACAACTGAGACTCAATTCCCTATATCAAGAGCAAGAGCCCCCTCACCAGTGTCACTTAACCTCCCTTGAGGCCCGCTCGCATCTGGAAATTTTGCTCGTGTCTGGAAGCAAAAAATCGACCGAGCAGCTGCTCGTATCTGGAAAAACTCGCACATGGATGCACTCGTAAGTAGAGGTTCCACTGTATATGGAATAGGTGGTAAGTTACTAAATGCTGTAAAGAGTTTTCATGAGGATAGTGAGGCTCAGGTTAGGGTGTGTAGAAGAGAGGGAGACTACTTCCCAGTAAAAGTAGGTCTTAGACAGGGATGTGTAATGTCACCATGGTTGTTTTAATATATTTATAGATGGGGTTGTAAAAGAAGTAAATGCTAGGGTGTTCGGGAGAGGGGTGGGATTAAATTATGGGGAATCAAATTCAGAATGGGAATTGACACAGTTACTTTTTGCTGATGATACTGTGCTTATGGGAGATTCTAAAGAAAAATTGCAAAGGTTATTGGATGAGTTTGAGAATGTGTGTAAAGGTAGAAATTTGAAAGTGAACATAGAAAAGAGTAAGGTGATGAGAGTATCAAATGATTTAGATAAATAAAAATTGGATATCAAATTTGGGAGGAGGACTATGGAAGAAGTGAATGTTTTCAGATATTTGGGAGTTGACGTGTCAGCAGATGGATTTATGAAGCATAGAATTGATGAAGGAAAAAAGGTGAGTGGTGCATTGACGTACATGTGGAGGCAAAAAATTTTATCTATGGAGGCAAAGAAAGGAATGTATGAAAGTATAGTAGTACAACACTCTTATATGGGTGTGAAGCTTGGGTTGTAAATGCTGCAGCGAGGCAGTGGTTTGAGGCAGTGGAGATGTCCTGTCTAAGGGCAATGTGTGGTGTAAATATTATGTAGAAAATTCAGAGTGTGGAAATTAGGAGAAGGTGTGGAGCTAATAAAAGTATTAGTCAGAGGGCTGAAAAGGGTTTGTTGAGGTGGTTTGGTCATTTAGAGAGAATGGATCACAGTAGACTGACATGGAGAGCACATAAATCTGTAAGGGAAGGAAGGCGGGGTAGGGGTCGTCCTCGTAAAGGTTGGAGGGAGGGGGTAAAGGAGGTGTTGTGGGCAAGGGGTTTGGACTTCCAGCAGGCGTGCATGAGCGTGTTCGATAGAAGTGAATGGAGACGAATGGTATTTGGGACCTGACGATCTGTTGGAGTGTGAGCAGGGTAATATTTAGTGAAGGGATTCAGGGAAACCGTTTATTTTTATATAGCCGGACTTGAGTCCTGGAAATGGGAAGTACTATGCCTGCACTTTAAAGGAGGGGTTTTGGATATTGTCAGTTTGGAGGGATATGTTGTGTATCTTTATATGTATATGCTTCTAAACTGTTGTGTTCTGAGCACCTCTGCAAAAACAGTGATTATGTGTGAGTGAGGTGAAAGTGTTGAATGATGATGAAAGTATTTTCTTTTTGGGGATTTTCTTTCTTTTTGGGTCACCCTGCCTCGGTGGGAGACGGCAGACTTGTTGAAGAAAAAAAAAAATATATTTCTTAACTGTTGTATTCTGGGTACCTCTGCAAAAACAGTGATTATGTGTGAGTGAGGTGAAAGTGCTGAATGATGATGAAAGTATTTTCTTTTTGGGGATTTTCTTTCTTTTTGGGTCACACTGCCTCGGTGGGAGACGGCCGACTTGTTGAAAAAAAAAAAAATATATAATTTTACATATAAACTAGGGCATACGAAAACCAAGGTTCCACTGTATTATAAATATAGAACATCTTTAAAAACAATTATCTAACATGAAAGTACCTAAGAGTTTAAAGAAAATATTTAGTTCACTGTATGTGCATGGTCCTTTAGGAAAAACTTGAAATAAGACTAAGTAAATCAAAATGAAATAAAATTAATGTAATTAGTGAATATGCAGGGGAATTAATAGTCACTACGTATATTTTTCTTGCTGATAGGAAGATACACTGAGGTGAAACATGTCATTTTGCAACATAGCACTTGAGACAATCAAGCAGTTTCAAATATACAGAATTTCAATGATATTATCAAGATATCAAGTGAAGATCAGAACTCAATGAATTTTATAAAGGACCACAGCCTCAACAACCTACAGACTGTTGAAATAAAACATTAAGACAACCCAGTTCTCTTAAATAACAAAAGTCAAATGCAACTTGGGCACTGGGTAACACAAGTACAAAGGCTATTAAAGACCTTTGAAAAGGTGTTGCTAGAAGTTGAAAAATGGGCTGAAGGTGGAGTAGGCAAGATACTGAGTAAGATACAGTTTAACCCTTAGACTGTCCAAACGTAGATCTACATTCGCTCGTGTAGCGCTCAGAGTGTAGATCTATGTTTTTTACATGCTTTCTTATGGAGAAAATCAAGGCCGGAGCGCTACACGCACAAACATAGATCTACAATTGGACAGTTTAAGGGTTAAAGGTCAAGACTTCAGGGTACGTGAAGTGAGGGCACTGTAATGCATGACTTCCATAACTGAATCTTTATCAAGATTAAACAAGCAGTAAAAATTAAAATACAACCAAAATGTTAATCAATTTGGTATTAAGGGTAAGGCAAAGAATAATTAGTGTGAATGATGGTGAAAGTGTTGAATGATGGTGAAAGTGTTTCTTTCTTTTATGGGTCACTCTGACTCGGTGGGAGATGGTCAGCATGTTGAAAAAAAAAAAAATAAGTGAGGCTCAGGTTAGGGTATGTAGGAGAGGAGATGATTACTTTCCAGTAAAAGTAGGCCTTAAACAGGTATGTGTGATGTCACCATGGTTGTTTAATATATTCATAAATGGGGTTGTAAAAGTGATTGCTAGGGTGTTTGGGGGAGGTCTTTTCTTTCTTTCTTTCAACAAACCAGCCATATCCCACTGAAGCAGGGTGGCCCAAAAAGAAAAACACAAGTTTCTATTTTTAACTTTAGTAATGTATATAGAAGGGGTTACTAGCCCCTTGCTCCCAGCATTTTAGTCACCTTTTATGTCACACACAGCTTACAGAGGAAGAATTCTGTTCCACTTTCCCATGGAGATTTGGGGGGAGGTGTGGGATTAAAATATGCAGAATCTAATACAAAATGTGAGTTGTCACAGTTACTTTTTGCTGATGACACTGTACTTTCGGGAGAGAAGTTGCAAAGGTTGGTGGACAAATTTGGGAAGTGTGTCAAGAAGTTGAAAGTGAACACAGGAAATTGTCTGGTGATGAGGGTAACAAACAAGTTAGGTAATGAAAGATTGAATATCACACTGGGAGGGAGTGAGTATGGAGGAAGTACATGTGTTAAGATATTTGGGAGTGGAATTGTCGTCAGATGGGTAAGTGAAAGACAAAGTAAACCATAGAAATGATGAAGGGGAAAAAGGTGGGAGGTGCACTGAAGCATCTGTGTAAACAAAGAATGTTATCCATGGAGGCAAAGAGGAAAATGTATGAAGGTACAGTGATACCAACACTCTTATATGGGTGTGAAGCATGGGTTGTGAATGCTGCAGTAAGAAAGAGGTTGGAAGCAGTGGAGATGTCATGTATAAGGGCAATGTGTGATGTAAATATTATGCAAAAAAATCATAGTGTGGAAATTAAGAGTAGGAGTGGAGCTACTTAAAGTATTATCTAGAGGGCTGAGGAGGGGTTGTTGAAGTGGTTTGGACATTTAGAGACAATAGAGCAAAGTAGGATGTCTTGAAGGATGTATAATCTATTGTGGAGGGAAGGTGGGATAGGGGTTGTCCTAAGAAAGGATGGAGAGGAGGGGGAAAAGGAGGTTTTGTGTGCCAGGGGCTTGGACATCCAGCAGACATATGTGAGTGTGTTAGATAGGAGGGAAGCAAATGGTTTTTTGGACCTGACAAGCTGCTGAAGTGTTAGCATGGTAACATTTTGTGAAGGGATTCAGGGAATCCAGTTAGATGGACTTGAGTCACGGAGGTAGAGAGTACAGTGCCTGCACTTTCCAGGAGGGGTGGGGATAATTGCAGTTCTGGAAGGGCATCTGAACTGTAGTATGTACGCACCTCTGGCAAAACAGTGATAGAGTGAATGATGATGAAAATATTCTTTTGTGGGAGATGGCCAGTGTGATAAAAAAAAATTAGAAAGCAGAAAAATTATGAGAGTAGCACTGCTTCAAGGATGGGCAGAAGTGTGCAGATCATACACCTGCATGATAGTAAAAAAGAGGATGAACCAAGTACACCATCAGGATTTTATAATTTCGAAGACCGTGTTAAAGTGTGGTGATATGGAACACAAATAAGCTGAGACAGGCAATGTCTTATTCTAAATTGTAGGTAAATTCTCTAATATGATGATAAGGCATAACATTAGTATAGTAGTTGTTTAATGTCTATTATATACAGTTTTAATAAAGAAATTGTCTTGTACTGGGAATACTGAGTCAGAAGTATAGTTCAAAATAAAAGTCAAAGGATTTTCAGAAAATACAAACACAGTAACCAAAAAATAATGTTGCATAACATACAATAACATTTTATGAGAGTAAAAATAAGAAACACATAAGTGTAAGAGAAAGATATGAGGACAGTTTCAAGAACTAGCAGTTAATGTAGAATGCATTAGACCAAGAAGAAACAGATGAATAAAATTATTTACCACAGTAAGTCACACCCCCCCAACAAGGCATGGGCCAGGTGGGTAAACAAAGCTCTCTACCTGGTCTGTGTGCTGCCATAGGATTGCACAGGGGAAGTGGTGGCAGTAGTAGTAGAAGGGGGCTGTTGGCCGCGCACCGGGTAACTTACACCATCGCCTAGACTAGAATAACAACGAGAGAGTACAAATTCTTAAAGAGCTAACGCTGTAAAGTAGGGTGATGAATGTGGTTACCTGTGATGCTATTTAGTCAAGCCATTCAAAACATCCAACCCAACAAAGTATTTAAGCTTAACTTTTGATAGCAAAAATCTTAACATTTAATTATAATATTTTAATAGGTTAAATGTAGTTTCCTTTTTTGAGGTGCAGTACAGTAGTGATAAAAGATGAGAAACTTACACTGCTTCATTGAAAACACTATCATGTCAATCTGACAAAAATAGAAGTAAAAATGTAAGAGGTATATTTTCATAAAACACATTCAAATACAATATACAGTAAAGTCTATGAATATTGGCATTAAAAGAAAACTTAAATATGCATATGATAAAACCTATGTACATTATATTACTGGCAAAAGACTGAAAGCATGAACCATCACCTTGCATTTAACCCGTAAAAGGTTCAAACATATATACGTACATGTTTTTACCGCTAGTGCCCCAATCGTATATATACGTTTTATTTGTCATACATTCAACATTGCCACAATAAGCCTGAGTTGCCTAGACATGAGAGAATGGGTGTGAGCACTCACTGTGTGCCATATTAAAATAATTGGGGATGCCTGGGTACCATATGCTCTTTTTTCCTATTAAAAAACAATTTTTTTTTTCTCAAAAAAATTTGGGGCACTACGAGAGAGAACGTATATATACGTTTGGACCGTTTACGGGTTAACTACAGAACCAGTAACTTGTTTCAATCTCTCTAACTACTTGAGCTATATGGACAAGCCAAAGGAACAGTACACAGACTAGTCTTACTAGTACAGCTTCAAAAACTCACTTGAACAACATTATTATTGATGAATGATTTCATAGCCACTATGCTGTCTCAGCTTTCTAAAATCTACATTATTGCTGAATGATTTCACACCCATTGAGGACTTCCCTTCTACACTATGCTGTCTCAACTTTCTAAATCTACTCTATTTCAATATAAACAAAAACAATTAGTCCCTAAAAATAAAAGGAGCATCAACTCAAATTTTTTAGAGCTGTGCATCAAGGAAAAATTTAAATTTTGTGTCGCCCTGCCTCATTGGGACACAGCCGACGTGTTAAAAAAAAAATAATGCGGAATATAGTTTCTCAAAACACCATGAAGGGATAGCAATATCATAAAATTATAATAAATAATACCAAAATGAATTCACCAAACCTACATTAAATGACCATATACTAGAGATCAATGCATTTCATAAAGTACATACTGTAATAACCATGAAAAATTATTATAATTACCAACTCTGTCTCTAATAAGAGACTGTAGATTTATTAGTGTTGCTTATAGATATTTTTAATACAAATACATGAAACCAATCCAAAAATAATAAAATACTGGAATAAAAGCTTAGTTTTAATGTGCAAATGGCAAATCAGAAAAAAACAGCATATGCTTGTGTAGGGGAAGTCATGACACCTACACCTAAATGCTATATTTAAGGTAGATGCTTGCAAAACAGACTTTACAAAAAAATTAGTTTTACACCTTTTATTTTGTATATGGTGGCTGACAACCGTGGACTTCATTTTTACTGATCACCTGTGTGCCTGGTCAGTCAAGTGTGGTGTACAGATAACAGCTGTGCAGAAAATATGATGGTGAAAAAGACACTTGCAGCAGTGAAATCTTTTATTGGTACATTTTACTCATGAATGAGCCTTTGAAAAAGCCTAGTCATGGGTGAAACATTGTGCCCATAAAGAACTTCACTGATATTAGTGTTTTTCACAATTTGTCAGCATTATGCCTTCAGTCTGCACCAACTATTGTACCAGCTTTGTGCATAAGTGCTACACTGGTTGTATCAAACAGAGCAAGGAAGAAATGTCTTTGTACTACCAACTGGATCACTGCTATTTCACTGATTTTTTTTTGTAACATAACAAAATTGAATTCAAAGACATTACTCCAATCTCTTCTCACCACAGTGTCTCATGGCCAACTGACCTGATTGCCAAAGTTAGCAAATGCATGGAAGGGAAGAGTGCAACAGTGCCAATCACAGGTAATGCATAAAAATGTAAAGTACAGTGAAATGACTTTTTAATAATAAAATTAAGCATTAAAAATAACCACCTTAAAATACGATGGTACTATATACTGCATGACACCAAGACATGTATTTTAAATTGATGGAAATCACTGCCTGAAGTGCTATCATAATATTGTAGAGATTAGAACAAACCAAAAAACCACAAATTGTAGAAAATATGCAGCTAGTAAAATTTGTTTTGGAAAACAGAACTCTTCAATAAATAGCAGTGTGTACAGTATTGCTGAACCATAAGGTGGTTACTGTAATGGGACAGCAATTCAAAAGTTCAATAATTAAAGAGGTAAACTTTTGACACTGAAGCTGGAATCAGCAGGATAATCATACCCAGCCTGTGAAAGAGCCCAAATTGGCCTATAAATATGACAATAATTAAGTGGTATCTATCTATCTGGCTGATTTGAGTGAAATGAAGCCCATGTGGGTGATATGTGGCTGATTTGCAAAAAAGCTTCTTCAGTAGCCAGCAAACCAAGTCTGGAGGCCATAAATACAAGGTGCAAGAAATTTTTTACTACAATTATTGCATGGTGCCAAAAGAATGTTTATCATACAGTACTCTTGTGTATATTTATTTACCATTGCAGTCTTCTAGAACAGCAAATAAAGAGAAAACAATGATATAAGTTGAAAAAAACAATTGTTGCAGAAAACCACCACCACCACCACCAGTAGTAGAAAAAGAAAATCCATAAGGATCACCAGAAGACCATCACTGTAATTTACTACAGTATAATATACCAATACTGTACATATATATATTTACCAAAAGTGAAGCAAACTCATTAAGATATCCTTGAGACACTGTCAATAAATGTACAAATCAAATCAACATATTAATAATAACAATAATGCTGTGAAACTTGATATACCACAAAGTTCATTTTAAATGTTGGAATGATCACACATTCAATCTACATAAAAGCTTACCTTGTTATGATAAAGTAGAATATATTTCTTTCACCAGCCAGGCTTTTACAAACTATGTTTCGTAATGAAATTTAACTTGCTGAGATTGACAATCAAAAATTCAGTAACAGCAGATACATATAAATGATCTGTTAAAAAAAAAAATTAGGAAAGATTGTCACTACTCACCTGGAGGCCACTGGCAGAAACCACAATTTCCTATCATCTCCAAACACTTCAATGAAGTTATTAAGAGCACCCAGACTGAAGCCATCTTTATCTTGCATCCACGTATGGTTCAACCGGAAGATGGGAGCACGAAATGACTCTGTTCAAGTACATATGAAATGACTCTTCTTGCATTACCAATAAAAATATTTTTTATTCACCTATCAGTATAAAAAAAAGTAACTATGATATCTCATAATTCAAGTTCATAAAACAAGTACAGATAAAAAACAATGAGGTTGTAACATTTTATAATTTAGATTTTAAACCATGGACACTTGTTAAAAAATGTAACATTCTAACTCATAATCATGCAACGAAAAAATATACAATAATTAGAGCAAATTTTATAAGGATTAATCAATTTACATGAATTTTTATCACACTGTTGGAAACATGACAGAAAATCTTATCATTAAAATAAACTTTAGATATTTACTTCCTATATCTCTCATGCAGAGAATTCATAGTGTAGAAATTAGGAGGTATGGCGTTACAAAAAGGTATTATTCAGAGGACTGAAGACGGGTTATTGAAGTGGTTTGGTTATTTATAGAGGATGGAGCAAAATAGAATGACTTGGAGGATGTATAAATCTGTAGTGGAGAGGAGGAGGGGTAGGGGTCATCCTAGGAAAAGATGGAGGGGGTAAAAAGGTTTTTTTTGTGCAAGGGACATCAACATTCACCAGGCATGTGTGAGCATGTTAGATAGAAGTGAATGGAGACGAATGGTTTCTGGGACCTGATGAACTGTTGGAGTGTGAGCAGGGTAATATTTTGTGAAGGGATTCAGGGAAACCAGTCAGCCGGACTTGAGTCCTGGAGGTGGGAAGTTCAATGCTTGCACTTTAACCCTTTCAGGGTCTGTCCCATAGATCTACAGCTTTGAAGCCAGGGTCCAAGCCATAGATCTACGCCAAAATTCTAGTGGCTTCAAATTTAGAGCAAGAAGGCTGGTAGGCCTACATCTAAGAGAATTGGTCTGCGTGGTCAGTGTGCACAGTAAACAAAAAATCGGGGCACCCGCATTGCATTGTGAGAACGCATCTCAGTACACTTTGTTCATCATGCCTGGCGGCAAGGAAGCTCTCACTCCCAGGCGAATTCTGACTCTCCTCTTCCCAAGTTACAGTTCTAACACTGATTAAAGTGGATCTGAAGAGGAATTCTTTTGTACGGTATCGTACAATGGTACTATATGGTACATTGTACCATATGGTACATTGTACCATATGGTACATTGTGCTATATGGTACAGGGAGCCTAATGGAAATAAGTTACTTTGGCTGACTTTTTTTTGGGTTATCCTAGGTTCTCCACACACATGCTGCTATGTATGATAATCTATGTAACTGTATTTGTGTAAACCTGAATAAACTTACTATGCCACATGCACTCAAGTAAGTTTATTCAGGTATACACAAATACAGTTACATAGATTATCATACATAGCAGCATATGAGTAAAGATCCTAGGATAACCCAAAAAAGTCAGAGTGACTTATTTCCATTGGCATCCCTGTATTTGTACCATATGGTACCCTATACCATATGCAATTCCAAGGGGACCGAGTACATCCCGTGGCCCTACACCTGGAATAGACAGTGAAAGTGACAATGATGCAGCTACAATTGGGACGGATAGACCATATGCATCAGTAGGTGGTAGTGGCGCCACCAGCATGCGTATGTGCAGCATGCGGCACCAGTCCAGACAGAGCGAGTCTGGGACCCAAGTCACTGACTCAGCAGTTCCAGGACAAAGCACATCGTCATCCACCGGTGGAAGTAGATGACTGTGGCTGAAATGCACCTTGTTTTTTTGCAACAATAATGCTTATGCCTCATGTCTATAAGCATAATATAAAATCATACTGGTCCACAGATGAGTATGACACCACTGTGCATGACACCTTGTTTCAAAGACTTTCACAGACTGTAGCAGCTCTAGGAACATGTCCAGTGACTGTACATTTTTTTTTTTTTTAACAAGTCGGCCATCTCCCACCGAGGCAGGGTGACCCAAAAAGAAAGAAAATCCCCAAAAAGAAAATACTTTCATCATCATTCAACACTTTCACTTCACTCACACATAATCACTGTTTTTGCAGAGGTGCTCAAAACACAACAGTTTAGAAGCATATACGTATAAAGATACACAATATATCCCTCCAAACTGCTAATATTCCGAACTCCTCCTTTAGAGTGCAGGCATTGTACTTCCCATTTCCAGGACTCAAGTCCGGCTATATAAAAATAACCGGTTTCCCTGAATCCCTTCACTAAATATTACCCTGCTCACACTCCAACAGATCGTCAGGTCCCAAATACCATTCATCTCCATTCACTCCTATCAAACACACTCATACACGCCTGCTGGAAGTCCAAGCCCCTCGCCCACAAAACCTCCCTTACCCCTTCCTTCCAACCTTTTTGAGGATGACGCCTACCCCCGCCTTCCTTCTCCTACAGATTTAAATGCTCTCCATGTCATTCTACTTTGATCCATTCTCTCTAAATGACCAAACCATCTCAACAACCCCTCTTCAGCCCTCTGACTAATACTTTTAGCAACTCCACACCTTCTCCTAATTTCCACACTGAATTTTCTGCATAATATTTACACCACACATTGCCCTTAGACAGGACATCTCCACTGCCTCCAACCACCTCCTCGCTGCTGCATTCACAACCCAAGCTTCACACCCATATAAGAGTGTTGGTACTACTATACTTTCATACATTCCCTTCTTTGCCTCCATAGATAACGTTTTTTGACTCCACAAATATCTCAACGCACCACTCACCTTTTTTCCCTCATCAATTCTATGATTAACCTCATCCTTCATAAATCCATCAGCCGACACGTCAACTCCCAAGTACAGTGGACCCCTGCATACCGTTGGCATCACATAATGTTAAATCCGCATACCGATACATTTTATCGCTAAGATTTTGCCTCGCATACCGCTAAAATACCCGCTCAATGCTATTCGTCCGAGACGCGTCTAATGTGCGGCCTGAGCCAGCCTCACATGTTCCGCCGGTGGCATTGTTTACAAGCCAGCCTCCACGGTAACATCCAAGCATACAATCGTAACATTTCGTATTATTACAGCATTTTTGGTGATTTTATCTGCAAAATAAGTGACCATGTCACTTATGGCACTTCTAGTGCCAACCCTGTGGTAAAAAGGGTGAGAAATATTATCGAAATACTGTGGTACCATGGTCAACTGCAGATGCTGCTGCTGCTGTAGCACTGTCAGCTGCTGCTGCTGCTGTAGCACCGTCAGCTGCTGCTGCTGCTGTACCACCGTCAGCTGCTGCTGCTACTGTAGTACTGTCTGCTGCTGCTGTAGCACCGTCTGCTGCTGCTGTAGCACTGTCAGCTGCTGCTGTAGCACTGTCAGCTGCTGCTGTTGCAGCACTGTCAGCTGCTGCTGCTGCTGTAGCACTGTCAGCTGCTGCTGCTGCACTGTCAGCTGCTGCTGCTGTAGCACTGTCAGCTGCTGCTGCTGCTGTACCATCGTCAGCTGCTGCTGTAGTACCATCTGCTGCTGCTGTACCATTGTCAGCTGCTGCTGTAGTACCATCTGCTGCTGCTGTAGCACCGTCTGCTGCTGCTGTAGCACTGTCAGCTGCTGCTGTAGCACTGTCAGCTGCTGCTGCTGCTGTAGTACCGTCTGCTGCTGCTGTAGCACCGTCTGCTGCTGCTGTAGCACTGTCAGCTGCTGCTGCTGCTGCTGCACTGTCAGCTGCTGCTGCTGCACTGTCAGCTGCTGCTGCTATGCTGTAGCACTGTCAGCTGCTGCTGCTGTAGCACCGTCAGCTGCTGCAGCTGCTGTACCACCGTCAGCTGCTGTTGCTGTAGTACCATCTGCTGCTGCTGTAGCACCGTCTGCTGCTGCTGTAGCACTGTCAGCTGCTACTGTAGCACTGTCAGCTGCTGCTGCTGCTGCTGTAGCACTGTCAGCTGCTGCTGCTGCTGCTGCTGTAACACTGTCAGCTACTGCTGCTGCTGCTGTACCACTGTCAGCTGCTGTTGCTGCTGTACCACTGTCAGCTGCTGTTGCTGCTGTACCACCGTCAGCTGCTGCTGCTGCTGTAGTACCTTCTGCTGCTGCTGAAGCACCGTCTGCTGCTGTAGCACTGTCAGCTGCTGCTGCTGCTGTAGCACCGTTGTTGGTGTGGCTTATTGAGAATACCAAGAAACAATTAACCCCAGAGGGTTAGCCACCCAGGATAACCCAAAAAAGTCAGTGTCATTGAAGACTGTCTAACTTATTTCCATTGGGATCCTTAATCTTGACTCCCAGGATGCAACCCACACCAGTCGACTAACACCCAGGTGAACAGGGAAAAATGCCTGGAACTAGTGCTCATATTGGTGAATTTAAAGCCAGCAAAGGTTAGTTTGAGAGATTTAAGAATCGTAGTGGCATACAGTGTGATAAAGCCTGTTCTGGAAGAAAATGCCAAACAGGACCTACAGTACTCAGGAGGAAAAGGCACTCCCAGGACACAGTGTCTCATCAGTCATTGCTGCATCTTCAATAAAAGTAAGTGTCATTTATTCTTCATTTAGTAGACTAGTACATGCACAATATATATTGTGCATGTACTACTCTACTACCGTGCATGTATCCTTCTCTTTGTGTGTAGGAAAATGTATATTTCATGTGGTAAAAAAAATTTTTTCATACTTTTGGGTGTCTTGCACGGATTAATTTGATTTCCATTATTTCTTAGGGGGAAAATTCATTCGCATAACGATAATTTCGCATAACAATGAGCTCTCAGGAACGGATTAATATCGTTATGCGAGGGTCCACTGTATCTGAAAACATTCACTTCTTCCATACTCCTCCTCCCCAATTTGATATCCAATTTTTCTTTATCTAAATCATTTGATACCCTCATCACCTTACTCTTTTCTATGTTCACTTTCAACTTTCTACCTTTACACAAACACCCAAACTCATCCACTAACCTTTGCAATTTTTCTTTAGAATCTCCCATAAGCACAGTATCATCAGCAAAATGTAACTGTGTCAATTCCCATTTTGTATTTGATTCCCCATAATTTAATCCCACCC